TGTATGTGTTCACTGTTATGTGTGTATGTGTGTGTGTGTGTGTGTGTGTGCGTGTGTGTTTGTTTTTTTTGTGTGTGTGTGTGTGTTTGTGTGTGTGTGTGAGAGAGAACGTGTGTGTGTATGTGTTCACTGTTGTGTGTGCGTGTGTGTGTGTGTGTGTGTGTGTGTGCGTACGTGCATGTGTTTGTGTGTGTGTGCATGTGTGTGTTTGTGTGTGCATGTGTGTGTTTGTGTGTGCATGTGTGTGTGTGTGTATGCGTGTGTGTGTGTGTGTGTGTGTGTGTGTATGTGAGTGAGAGAGAGAGGGGGAGAGAAAATGGAAAACGAGGGAGAAATGTATCAATAAGTCATGACTGCAACAGCAAGTGGCAAGAAAAGCTAAACAAAAGAAAAGACTTTTATTTTGGCGTGGTGTGACGTCATAAGTCGGCGCCGGTCTTGCGCTGGATCCAGATGGAGAAAGGTTTGTTTTAAAGCGTTTACACTTATATAAAGCGATTGATTAAAGTTTCAGGCATTTTTTCATCCGATGCTAAATTATGCTGTTAATGCGTAATGCTGCTGTTGACAACATTATTTTAACACTTTATACTGTGTAGTATTATTTTACTTACAGTAATGAGGGTTATTGTTTGAATAATAGAGGTAAAGTTGGTTTTATATTCACACATTCGTTCATTTAGAAGTCTCTATATTGTTTACTGTTACTTTGAATATTCGATCGGAATTAGCATAAAAGTGTGGCTTGAAAACAACATTAACACTCTTTATTTGACTGTGAACAATGTTGTACTTTGTCATTATAATCATTGAGTGCTAATATGATTTCGCTATTTAGAGTTAGCAAATATTACTATTATGAAATTATATTATTAAGGAGAAAGTCTGAATGTGCGAATATAAAACCAACTTTACCTCTATTCTTGAATAAACAAAAGAAACATAAACGTGTAGGTGTTTTAATGAAGGTTTAATTGATTAAATAGCATAATGTCATTCCATTCTAAATATACATCACTATGTATGAGAAACGGAGTTTTAATCAGCTCATTCTTTCTAGCTGACAATAGAGGTAAAGTTGGTTTTATATTCACACATTCGTTCATTTATAAGTCTCTAAATTGTTTACCATGTTACTTTGAATATTCGATTTGAATTAGCATGCAAGTATGACTTCTAAACAACATTGTTTATTTGACTGTGAACATTGTTGTACTTTGATAGTCATTGAGTGCTAATATGATTTCACTATTTAGAGTTTGCAAATAATACTTTTATGAAATTATATTATAAAGGGGAATGTCTGAATGTGCGAATATAAAACCAACTTTACCTCTATGCATGGACGTACCTGATTTCTTTTTGTTAATTACTCTCATATAAAGAAACTGTTGAAGCAAGTGTTGAAGAGAAGTTATTTTGTTTCTGTTCATTGTTTTATTAATTTTAAACAGGACATTTTTATTGTTTTGTTCATATTAAACAGGATAAAGTGTCCAAAGACAGAGAAAAACTCCTGCTTGAGCGACTGATCTCCACACTGTTATAAAGATGGCGTTTATTAAAGAGGAGAGTGAAGATGTGAAGATTGAAGAAACATTCACAGTCAAACAGGAAGATCTGCAGGAACAAACAGGTTAATTTTCATTCTCAAACACCAACTCATTCATTTGATCCTCATTCAGATATATTTTAATAATAAGAATACTAAATTAAATCCATCTTGCAGCCCTGAGTGTGCTGCCTAGTTCTCCTAAACGCACATAAGCACTCATTGAAAGACAGGAATCAGTTTCTTTCTTGTTCTTGTGTCATTTGTCATTCTTTTATGTATAATTAGTCTCTTATTACAAGTGGGCCTCAGCAATCCTGCAGGTGGGCCGCGAGCAAACTTAAAATTAACTCTTAATATTAAGGGTGTCACGAGTTCTCGTGAGATTAAATCGGTAAAATTAAGATAAAAAGTTGTCTTGACCGTGAGGGTGAATTTAGCATTGAAGATTGGAAGCAGGATTGAATTTGAACCGCAAATCAAGTGCTTTGCATACACCTGCAAGGCTGGCCTCCAGTAGTATCTGGATGCAGCCTTTATGATGCAAGCTGAGATTGCATCACTCAGCGATGCAATGTCAGACACAATGCACTTAAATGGAGCTAGTGACTGTGACGGTTAGGGTTAGGGGTGGGGTTAGGTGAGCCCATTAAAAAGCATTGGATGTAGCCCAGATTGCACTGCACCAGGTCTGCAGCCAGACCCCTCTCATGGCCTCTGTGATGCATGTCACTCGCTTGGCCGTGTGGGTGTAAAGTCACCGCTTTTTTTTCTCACCGGAGCGAGATGTGCTGAAAGCTGCTTTAGTAAAGTGCAGAACAGATTTTTAAACGCCGTAATTAATCTATTACCATCGTGTAGGACTTCATTACAAGTAAAAAACAAACACCTTAATTGTTCTGCATTTTGTGATTACATTTTTTTTTAATTTTTATAAAAATATATTTTCCATTCATATATTTGAAGACTATTCCATGAATATGTCTCATCATTAAGAATTTCTTTAAAGTAGTGTAAAAATATCGACTTGTCTCGTTCCCCTGAACCCAATCGTGCGTCTCATCTTGTATCGTGGAGTTGGCATCTCTTCAGACCCCTACTTAATATTATACTACAATGTTTGGATTTCATTTATAAAATGCTATAATAAAATTATCAAAGTATTGTTCTGTGATTGATTACTTCAAGCTAGGAGCAAAAACAGCACCCAAATCTGAACTCCTTGAAAAAGTCATAGAGCTACCGGTAGTTGTCAACAACAAACTCTTCCGCCTTAAAGCTCCGCCTATGCTGGTTGATTGACACCTCAATTGCATTTGATTTATCATTTGCGATGTCTGTTTGAGGATTTGATTCACCATTTGCGGAGTCGTTTAAGGATTTGATTCACCATTTGCGGAGTTGTTTGAGCATTTGATTCACCATTTGCGATGTCGGTTTAAGGATTTGATTTATAGTTTGAGCATTTTGATTCACCATTTACGATGTCAGTTTGAGGATTTATCATTTGCGATGTCAGTTTGAGGATTTGATTTATAGCTTAAGTATTTGATTTATCATTTGATCTTTTAAGCATTTGAATTTTCATTTTAATTTTGTTAGGAAAAAACTTCCATACAAAACTTTCAGCACTTATAATTCAAATGAAAAAAAAAATGCTAATGATTTCAGGACAGCACACTTTCTTCCAAACACCACATAATGCTGCCCTCTTCAACTCTCCTCTTCCTTTATACTCTCACCCATTTCCTTTCTGCCGTCCCATGGGTGGAGACCAATTAAACAATGTTGACTGTCATCACAGAAAACACCAACAATCATAAATGCATGATTATTTGCGGTCATGGCTTTGCAATATACAGAGTGTACTGAGTTTTTTTTTTCAAAGCATTTTCCCAATATATGTCCAAAATAAGATGTCCCCAAATATCAGTCCTTTTGCTGAAACACAGAAAGTTTTGGCCAAATTAAGCCTTAAAATCACCCCAGAATGGATGAACCCAACAGCACACAAGGGGGGAAAGGTGCACATTCCAGCCTTTATGTAGATGCTGTACAGGTATGTCTCATGTCTGCGAGGCAAATATTCAGCAGTTTGTTTAGCTGTTACCCCCAGTGCTATAAGTGCATTTGATCTTGGGAAAATCCACGTATGGGAGGATTCGGTTCAAAAGCCGATTGTCTGAAAGAGTATTGAACGGGCCAATGAAAGCAATGAATTGGCAGCGTAAGCTTGTGCAGGTGTGCTTCATTGCCAATTATCCCAGGATATAAGCACACCTGGAGCGAGCAAACGCCATCCTTTTCGCTTCAGAGATTTTCTGATCGAGTCGATGAGGGTTCCTCTTGCTGGTTCAGCGACTTCAGAGCGAACGAGTGTCTCCCGTTCCAGAGTGGGTTTTCGCGGCGGCAGACGGTCGAGCTGGGTCCGGTCCTCCAGAGCGGTGCGTATTGTTGCAAACTTTCTTAAAAGAGCAACACAGTCATGCAGCACGTCCTTTTCAGGATGGCGCTCCGACTGTGCGTTTCTGGTTGCCGGGGTTTCCTGGCTCCGGATGATGGACACGATCACTGCATTACATGTTTAGGGGTCCAGCATGTTAATGTGGTGCTCGCGGGCAGTTCATGTCGTCACTGCTATGCCATGACCGTTGCCAAGCTAAGATCGCCTCCGGGCAGGTGAGCGCCGTCAAAATGGATCCTGAAGCGGACATGTTAGCCGTGGTTTCCCGGGCTGCTTCGGCCGTGGGGTTGGAGCTGGTTCATCCCCCATCTCCACGGCCGGACCGACTAGATGGGTGCTACGTGGAGGACCAGAAGGCGAAGCCTTCGAAGCCTCTGGTCCCCTTCTTCCCGGAAGTGCACAGTAGGCTCACGCAGTCTTGGAGGGTAACTTTCTCAGCCCATGCTGCGTGTCCCTCCGCCCTCACCGCCCTTGACGGCGGAGCTGCCAGGGGGTATGAGGCGATCCCGTCAGTGGAACGCGCTATCACAGTCAATCTTTGTCCGCGTGGCGCCCCTACGTGGCGGGGTCCGCCCCGTCTCCTGTCCAAAGCCTGTAGGTTGTCTGCCTCCCTCGGAGCCAGAGCTTATAAGGCTGCGGGCCAGGCTGCTTCCGCCTTGCACGCGATGGCCACCTACCAGCGCTACCAAGCGCAGGCGCTAGCCGAGCTGCACGAGGGCGGGTCTAACCCAGGCTTACTACATGAGCTGCGCACCACAACCGACTATGCTCTTCGGACTACTAAGTCCGCCGCGTGTGCACTGGGGATGGACGATGTTTACACTTGTGGTTCAGGAACGCCACCTCTGGCTAGACCTGGCCGATATGCGCAATGTTGACAAAGTTCGCTTTCTTGACTCGCCCATATCCCAGGCTGGCCTGTTCGGCGACACCGTCGGTGAATTCACCCAGGAATTCAAGGCGGTGAAAGAGCAGTCGGATGCGATGGGTAATGTCATCTGTCGGCGCGGTCGTAAGCCCGCTCCGCCCGCCGAGCCATCCACCTCCGCTGTTCCTCGCCGAGGGCGCCCGCCAACGAGTGCTGCCCCGCCCCCGGGCGCGCCGTACAACTCGAAAGCAGGCAGCCGTTAGCCGACAGGGCACCATCTGGCACCCTCGCCCTGATCTTTGGAACCTCCACGTGTAGTCCCTAGACGTGAGGAAGACTTGGGTAACCTACCGAGTGCCGTGGTTAATACCATCACTCAGGCTAGTGCCCCCTCCATGAGGTGCCCCTACGCCCTGAATCGAAGTCTATTCACTACATGGTGTGTCTCTCGCAGAGAAAACCTCAGAAATTGCCAGATCAGTGTTGTGCTCTCTTTTCTCCAAGAGAAGCTGGACAGCAGGCTGTCGCCCTCCACTCTCAAGGTTTACGTGGCAGCCATCTCCGCTTATCATAACACGGTAGCTGGCGGCACCGTGGGAAAGCACAACCTCATCATCCGGTTCCTCAGTGGTGCTAGGCGAATTAATCCATCCCGCCCCCTCTCATGCCCTTTTGGGATCTCGCCCTCGTTCTCACAAGTTTACGCGCAGATCCCTTTGAGCCACTCGATTCAATATCTCTAAGATTTCTGTCACTGAAGACAGCTCTGCTGGTCGCGTTGGCCTCCATCAAGAGGGTCGAGGACCTGGAGGCATTTTCGGTCAGTGACTCGTGCCTGGAATTCGGGCCGGATTACTCTCACGTTATCCTGAGACCCCGCCCGGGTTATGTGCCCAAGGTTTCTACCACCCCCTTTAGAGATCAGGTAGTGAACCTGCAAGCGCTGCCCCCGGAGGAGGCAGACCCAGCCCTTTCCTTACTGTGTCCAGTTCACGCGCTGCACATTTATGTGGACCGTACTCAGCACTTTAGATCATCTGAGCAGCTCTTTGTCTGTTATGGCGGTCGGCAGCAGGGAAGTGCCGTATCGAAACAAAGATTATCCCACTGTATTTTATGCCATTTCACTCGCTTATTCGAGCAGAGGTGAGCCGTGTCCCCCGGGAGTGCGTGCACACTCCACTTGGCGCGTTGCATCCTCTTGGGCTTGTGCACGTGGTGCCTCTCTAACAGACATTTGTAGAGCTGCGGGCTGGGCGACACCCAACACATTTGCAAGGTTTTACAATCTGCGAGTGGAGCCGGTTTCCTCAAGGGTATTAGGCAACCCTTTGGTGATTGAGGAAACAACTCAGTAGGGTGTTGAAACACGCTTGCTGCGCCATTGTCCCTAACACGTAGATACGTGTGCCCTTTTATCTGTCAGTAAAGTTCCCCGTCAGGTGAGCCCTGCAGATTCCTCCGTGGACCCCAGCACTGACTCAGCAGAGGAGTCACTTGCTGGCCCACTACGTTGTTGGTCTGCCCGCTGGTCAGCCTGCATCTTGGGTATAGGTGTCTGCTCTGGGTGGACCCATGTCTTCCCTCTCCGCTAACCTCTTTGTCTATGCACACTCCCCCTTCTTAGGGCTAGTCCATATGTAATTCTGCCATTTTATCTCCCCCCTTGGGTAGCGGATGGCCTCCGCAGCATCCTCCCTATCGGGATTGCACGCTTCCCAACGTACTGTCGTATTTTCCTAGAATCATCTAGACGCACGCGACTTCCCAAAAAATATATCTAAATCCGTAAAACTTCTGTTGAAGGGAGATAAATTAGGGCCAGGGACACGTTGGAAGGCCGCGCCTCCCATGATGTGGGTGCGTCCCGCTTCCTTGACTATCCCCTCATCGGGGGCATTGGTAAGGTGCAGTCATTATGGCGTTTTTCATAGTTCTCCCATACGTGGATTTTCCCAAAGATCAAATCCACTGTATAGCACTGAAGTTCCCCAACCGCAGGGGAACATTCGAGGTTACAGAAGTAAAACTTCGTTCCCGAGGAGGGGAACGGAAGTGCTATACTCCGTCGCCATAATGACTGTCCCTTAGCTGTTAGAAAGTCTCTTCAGCTTAAAAGGATGGCGTTTGCTCGCTCCAGGTGTGCTTATATGCTGGGATAATTGGCAATGAAGCACACCTGCGCAAGCTTACGCTGCCAATTCATTGCTTTCATTGGCCCGTTCAATACACTTTCAGACAAGCGGCTTCTGAACCGAATCCTCCCATTTCGAGGATTTTCCCAAGATCAAATCCACTTATAGCACTTCCGTTCCCCTCCTTGGGGAACGAAGGGTAACTTCTGTCACCTTGAACGTTTCCAGTGTCTTTTAACTTTTCAGCTTTTGATGAGAGTTTTTAAGACTTAATGAAAACTAATATTTTTTTTATTTATTTCAGACCTAATTGAAGAGAAGGAGAGGAGTAAAGAGGAGGAACATCATGTCAAAATTGAGGACAAAACTCATTTACAGACTGATTTTAAAAGGAGAGACAATAATTGTTTCACCTGCACTCAGTGTGGAAAGAGTTTTGGAAGAAAATACATTCTTAAGATTCACATGAGGATCCACACTGGAGAGAAACCATTCACATGCACTCAGTGTGGAAAGAGTTTCAGCTGCTCATCACACCTTAATCAACACATAAGTATCCACACTGGAGAGAAACCATTTACTTGCACTCAGTGTGGGAATAGTTTCAGCCAATTAGCACACTTTAATCATCACATGAGGATCCACACTGGAGAGAAACCATTCACATGCACTTACTGTGGGAAGAGTTTCAGCCAATCATCAAACTTTAATAAACACATGAGGATCCACACTGGAGAGAAACCATTCACATGCACTCACTGTGGGAAGAGTTTCAGCCAATCATCAAACTTTAATAAACACATGAGGATCCACACTGGAGAGAAACCATTCACATGCTCTCAGTGTGGGAAGAGTTTCAGCCAATCATCAAATTTTAATCAACACATGAAGATCCACACTGGAGAGAAACCATTCACATGCACTCACTGTGGGAAGAGTTTCAGCCAATCATCAAACTTTAATAGACACATGAGTATCCACACTGGAGAGAAACCATTCACATGCCCTCAGTGTGGGAAGAGTTTCAGCCGATCATCGTCCTTTAATTTACACATGGTGAGCCACACTGGAGAGAAACTATTCACTTGCACTTAAGCTGCGGTCACACTGGACTTTTCTCCCCATAGACTTCCATTCATACGCACGTGAATGCGTCAGACCGGAAACCAAGTTTGTGCATCAAGTTTCGCAGTTCACTGCGTTGCAAAGTTCAAGCTTGGTGAACTCTGACCTGCAAAATCACATCACTTGACTAGGGCTGTGTATTGTTCTAAAGTGTTCGATACCGATACCCTGAATTCGATACCGGTTTCGAACGATACTTTTTTTCTATACTTTTATTTTAAGAAATAAATTTTAACAAGATTACATAACACATAATCTCAGAGAAACTATTTTTTCACAGCAGGCTTATCTTTAAGACCAATAAACAAAGGAACAAAAGCACAAAATGAACAAAGTGTAGTTAACACAATATATTAGTGCTAACAGTTTTAATAAAGTTTAAGCAGTTTAAGTAAATCAATTTTAAGTATTTGTGAGGCTTACTGCTGCCTAAAGGTTTTCCGGATATCAAAATGACTCCGGAACAGATCCGCGCCGGAGGTATTACATGATCCGCAACAGAAACGGGTCCGCAAATGGGTCTGTACTGGAGTCTACTTGCACAGCGCAACGGATCCGGAACGGATAAGAATTCTGTATCCGTTCCGGACCCATTTCAGACGTTACCCGTATCCGGTAATAAAGCTCTTCATCCGGATCCGATCCGGACCCGTTAATAGAGTAGCTCATCCAGCTCGGATCCAATCCAGACCCGCTGATAGAGTAGCTCATCCGGCGCAGATCCGATCCAGACCCGCTGATAGACTAGCTCATCCGGCCCGGATCCAATCTAGACCCGAACCCATTGATGAAGTAGCTTATCTGGATCCAATCCAGACCCGTTCATTAGTAGATAATTTGGTGCTGATACCTTGAGTTTCCTAATTCAAAACTAATCTGGGCAAAGCTACCTAAAGAAATATCTAAAATCTATAGAACAACATTGCTCAATAAAAGCTTGCATATTTAAAATGTCTGCCTTAATCACTCAAAACTTCTAAATCTAAATGAATGTTTTAGCCAATCACAAAAAAAAACTATAAAAAGTTAATTAAATGGGTTAAATATAAATCAGTAATTACCTATTTTCAAAGTTGCATTATGTATACACTGACCAGAACAAATAAAACACAATGGAAAAATTGTACCGTTAACTTTTTTTTTTTTTTTTCATGTAGTAAAATGTTTTTATGAAGTAAGAGTAAAAGGAGAATCAAAACAGAATTCATTGTAGACTCTTTGCTGAACAGAATGTTTTGAGTGTTGCTGTTGCAGGTGATAAACGCTGCTCAGGAGAGTATGAAGATGTCATGAGTGTTGCAGTTGCACATGATGTAGGTTGCTCAGGACAGGATGGAGATGATGTGAGTGTTGCTGTTGCAGGTGATGAACGCTGTTCAGGAGAGTATGAAGATTAGAATGAATATAAATAATTCAAAAGAAAATGCACCATTAAACCTCCAAATGGCAGTTTGTGGTAGGTTTAAATAATGATATATTAATTAGGTTAAATACTCACAATGCTTTGATTTTTGTAGGCAAGTCTTTTGTCTTAATTCACTTTCTGCTTCGTTAAAGCGGTTAAAGCAGTCTTGGTGATGTTGATGCAAATTTGCCAATCTTGATTTAAACCGCTCCTGTTGATTTAAAAATAACAAGATAACAGATTTTGTTTCAACCTTTCAAATATCTTTAAACCATTTAATTACTCTAATCAATAGGGCTGTAACGATACACCAAACCCACGATTCGGTTCGTATCACGATTTTTGACCCACGATTCGGTTCGTATCACAATTTTTTTTTTCCGTGGGGGGTGGGAAAAAAGATTTTCAAAACAATTTTTTATTAAATAACATTTGAAAAATCTTTATAAACTGAACATCAAAAAACAATATTAACTATACAAATTATTAACAATATAAATAGTAATATATAAAATAAAAAAATAGCCAAAGCTATATCACTTTTGTTTTCTTTGTAACAAAATACTGTTGAAAAACCAAACAGAACTAAACTCCATTGTGTAGATGGTTCAAGCATGTTGAAAATTCTTTTTCAATCAAGTTCTCTTACATAGAAAAACTAAATAAATGGCCACTAGGGATGCTCATTTCGTTAATTTTGCTAACTGACAACCGCCGCTCATTAATCGCTTATTAAGGGTTAACTGGTCAGATTACTATTAATTTTATATTAAACAAATTGACTTGTCTTTTTTGTGTCTGACACATTAAATATTGCATTTTAAAATACTGATTTATTTTTAAATGCTAGCATATTAATAACAGAACAGAACAACAGAGCATCTTCACGCACCTGCAGTGTTTAGCACAGAAGAGCAGAATAATCTAAATAAAATGAATAAAATAAATAGGAATGCCCTGAATTATTTTCAATTAAATAATTAATTTATATTACAAAACGAAAATACTGACTGATTCTTTTTAATAACCGGCATAGGCTGTTTTTTTCCAATCATATGTTTTTTTCTTCCGTCAAATAAAAATAGCTGACTTCCTCAAATTGCCCGCTTCACGGAAAATATGCATTTATTTAATGCCCCGCTGTTATTATTGTAATCACAAAACCTTTTACATTTTTAATAGAAATCATTATTTTAAAGAATATGTCTTGCTATATGGTTTCCTCTCTCTCCCTCGCGGTTCAAGTGTGCGCTGCGTGATGAAAAGACAACAACAACGCGCGCATATGTTGACCTTTTGTAAACAGTTTTGTTGTTTAAATATGATATTGCATCAATGTGCATACATGCTTTATAAGTTGTAAAATAAAAAGTAAAGCCTATTTGTTGCGTTTATTACAGATCCAGGTCAACATCAGTGCTGGTTTAGCATCAACACGTCTGTATCAAACAGCAATATTCTACTTCTATTTTGCTTCTTTGGCAATGTGTCTTTAGGCACGGGTTATACGTTATCGTCCCGCAAATTAAGTATGCCTTGCAGTTGAACAAGGGGCCGAAAACAAGGCGCACCTCTCTGCCTTTATGTTGACAAGGAAAAAAGAAGAAGCACGGTCCTCTTATGAAACGACTGAATCAGCTGATTATCGATTGTGCTAAGGTGTTGCTGTCTGTGTTGTTACAATTGTAATATTTAATAATATCGTGATATTCAAGATTTGTATATTCATACAGCTCTGGATAACTTAAAACAGCGATTAGACCTTCAGAGCGGCATTAATGTGTCCTGAAGTAAAGCGAAACGGCTATAAACTCCAGCAAGATAGAGTGATTATATGCAGAGCCATATACCTTTATCTCTAAATAAAGTATAACTATAGAAACTGTGTTCATCTTAACTGAAAGCTTCGTCGTGTTTCCTGACCTCACGCATCACTCACCTGTCAGTCAGCACTCCCAAAGGGTCAAACAGAAAGTGCAAAGCACGGTTACAGAAAAGTTTGCGCTGTTATAATTCACTTACCTTTAGGCTACTGTTTCACACTGAGGCTTAATGCCTGTGCTTCAAACCACAAGTCAAGTAAACATTAAACAAATAAACAACTTATTTCTCTCAAGAAAACCAAAAAGTTGAAAATTCTTCAGAAACACCATCATGTCAACATTGCAGTGAAAAACGTGACAACTTTCCTTACTCTGTGGAGTCGGGACATCTGGTGAACGCCCATCCCTCTCTGTGCAGCCACATTAACAGTGTGAGCAAAGCATCGTATATGCTGTGAAAATCCGGCCGCTTTGACAGCATTGGCAATGTTTCTGCCATTGTCTATTGTCAAGCGGGGTTACGTTAATTTTGTTTTTGATATTCCTGACACATTCAGACGGTCCCTTACTAAGAGCTCTGTGCGAGCTCTCCCGGCTAAACGCATATTGCAAGGGCATAAATGGAGCAGTACTCGTAATGTCGAGTGAAAAAAAATTGTTTCCTCACGTTCTTCTTCAACTAGCTCAACTTTTGCAGGCAAGCGTGACGTTATTGGAAAGGTAGTCACGGGGTGTGTCGCGAATCTCCTTTATCACAACGCGACACAGGATCGTAGATTCGCGATTTCGATTTCATATCGTGTATTATTACAGCCCTAGGCGCCATGTCCGAATGATACAGTGACACTGACAAAGCGCTGCATCAACCTCTTTGTGCCAAAGTTCATGCAGAGTAGCAGTGTCCCTGGCAACCCTAATGGGCACTTTAGACTGCGAGTTTTAAGGCATTTGCGATTAAGGCATTGTCCAAAGCAACTCGGAAAAGCATGTGACCTTCAGATTATAAGACTGACGTGCTGCCTACTGCGCCAACGAGGCAGATTGCAGGAGCTGGGCAGGCTGTGACACACCAGCTTCTATGTCACTGTGCTGCGATGTGGGTCCTAGGAGACAGCTCAGGCCATACAAGCATGTCAGTATAGCAGAGCGGTCTAAGGTGCTGTGTTCCGGTCGCAGTCTCCCCTGGAGGCAAGGGTGTGAGTCCCACTTCTGACAAACCCAACTTTTGGCTATGCGTTTAGGCACACGTCTTTAACTCTCTGGCACGACCTGGCATGTCCGAGTGATACAGTTACACTGACAAAGTGCTGCATCAATCTCTTTGCGCCAAAGTTCATGAAGCGTAGCAGTGTCCCTGGGCACTTTAGACTGCAAGTTTTAAGGTGTTTGCGATCAAAGCATTGTCCACAGCAACTCATAAAAACATGTGAACAAAACAATGGTCGAGGGCTTTAATGCAAGTGCACTGAAAGGAGATGAAAAGAACTGTCTTGGAATGCCATGTAGTGGAATGTCCTGGGATGCCGTTGATTTTTAAGGCAAGAGGATTTGCAGGACTTTTCGTCAAATCCTTGTACAACGTCAAATAATGACATTTGACAGATCCACACAGAACGTTAAGTGATTACGTGTCAGGAATGGGAGCATCTTGCCATCATTGCTTCAGACTCAGGAAATGTTCTTGGAACTTCACGCTGCCTGCCCTCCAGAGAAGCTGTAGCATCTTTTGCTCCCGGGTAGCATGGACCGTATTGAAGGGAATAATAAACGCTGCCCAGTCATCTAAGCGCTCCCGTGTACCAACCGTTACCACCCTGCCCTGTGTGAGGCTCGAACTCACGACCTTCAGATTATGAGACTGACGCGCTGCCTACTGCGCCAACGAGGCGGACTGCACCAGTTTGGCAAGCTGTGACACACCAGCTTCCATTACGCTGTGCTGCGGTGGGGGTCCTAGGAGACAGCTCAGGCCATGCATGCATGTCAGGATGGTTGAGCTGTGTAAGTTGCTGTGTTCAAGTCGCAGTCTCCCCTGGAGTTGTGGTTTCAAATCCCACTTCTGACAAACAAAACCTTTGGCTAAACGTTCAGGCTCAAGTCTTTAAATCT